CTCAAGCTTGATAAATACTGGCCCTGGGCTGGTATTTATCAAGCTTCTCAAAGTGCCATTTTAGTCATTTGATTCGGGAGGCCACGGGTAGCCAGTGGAGGTCCCTCAGTAATGGAGTAACATGAGTCCATTTGGGCTGATCAAAAACCCAATATTCAGTTATTCTCTGTATCAGCGGTTTAGGTTGGAGGTAGTGGGCATCATTGTATTTTTCTTTTCTTGTATAAATGTACAAATAAATTGAGTATATTTTAAACACAATTTTTATTGTTGGCATAGAAGGCATTAAACACGATTTGACAAACAGCTGTATTTGATATGATGCCACAGTTTACATAATACTACATTCAAGCTCTGATCCAAGCACAGAAACACCTAGATTAGGACCAATAGTGACGCCTGTTCCCAGCACCTTGACTTTCAAACCTCCTGTACAGATACTGGCACCGGTATCTGCTGCCAGACCCACTGTAGCTTTCAGTGGACCAGCAGAGGCAGAGGCACTGGCTAGTTGTGCTCATTAATAATTCGATATTTTTTTCAATTATCATCCTGAAAAAGAGACACATAAAGCACAGAATGACAATACTAGCCTATTTTAAATTTAGTCTAATTACCACCTCACTTCTGTTTTATTAAATTAATAATAATAACAGAGGCAATTTGTCAGATGTTGAATTTGAAAAATACTGGACATCAAGTTCAAAAGTATTTATATGACACATAGATTACTTTAAACACTGTACATGCACCCTTTCCTGAACTTGAGTCTTTTAACTTAAATAATTCTGTCACTCAGAACTGGTAAATGTGTTTTTTGGCATTATTGTAGGGCAAGGGATGAAACAATTTAGAAGAAGAAGAAGATACTTTTATTGTCACATACACATACATGTTGCACTTTAACCCATCCCTCAAGGGAGCAGTGGGCAGCCTTTTAAAGTCCTCTTCAGGGAACGTTTTGAAGGCTGAAAAAACAGAGAAAATCAGTTACTCTGTAGGAACTGCCACGTTAAATATAAATAACTAGAGAATATAGATCTATAGCTAATTATATTTTATATCATAATTCATATTTTATTACATTAGGAAAAAATAAACCATTTTCATCAATGGTAAACCATCATAATTGTGTTGATAAAGTGATGAGAAGCTCGTCCATTCTCCTAATGGAGGAGCTTCAGATGTGCAACATAAACAAGGTCATATTATACTTTTTTGCTTTTTCCCTTTCTTTATTGTGTTTGATATCCAATTGTGCATGTAATAGGTTTGCAACGTGAAAAAGCCCTAAGTCAGAAAACACTGCTCCTGAACTGCCTGAAAACAGCTCGATTGTAGCCTTTACTTTCGTAACCTATCTGCATCACTTAGTAACACACGTCATAATGCTAATGTAACCAATTCCGAGGTTGTACTGCATGGGCCTAATGGTGAGGCAGGTCTAGTGTTGCAGTCAAGACCGCCCAAACCGAGACCATGTCAAGACCAAGACCAGAGTTTATCGCGACCAAGACAGGACCAAGACTTTTAGGGGCTGAGACCAAGCGAGGGCGAGACCGAGTCAAGACTAAGACCGAGGGACACCAGTTCACATTACATGACACACAAATCATTATTTCTTTCAAATTTAAAGACAGATGGTAATTGTGGTTTTAAACTATTCTTTATGGTCAGAACAAACATTTGATGCCAAAAAGTGGATCACTTCACAAATCTGAGGTAGAAAATTCAAAACTATTATGATAAAATCTTTTTTCAACAATAATGCATGAGTTACATTAAGTAAAATCTTTTTTTAAGTCCCTTTTCCTCAATAAAATATCTCAATATAAAAATTAAGTGCCAATTCATTTGTGGTTCAAATGAATTAAACATTTTTATATTGTTATTGAGAAAAATTATATAACTACAATCATTGTTGATTTATTACACAACACAATTTTTTTGTGGAAGCCTTAGGTCAGGGGTCAGCAAATTCAAGCCATTTCAAGCCATTACGTGGCGGGCCAGAACATTATTTCTGTCAAATTATTTCAAACCCATACACACTCATATGCTATATGCCTATATGTTTAGCTCAGTCGGTAGAATGTGGGACTCCTGTTGGAAGATTTGGAAGATTGATCCCATAATCCTGTCGACTTTGCTTTCCTCCCATGTTAAACAAATTGATTAGCAGTATAAGGACACTTTTTCACATGCTCGCAATAAAGCATGTACTGCAGTGTGTGTACGCCCTGGCGTCTGAGCCGCATTCATAAACCTATGGACACTAATTTTCATTTCCCTGAGGAAATTCAGGGGAATCCAATCACACGTTTACGGATGGCTTTTTCAGAGGTGTGTCAAGAAAGCCAGAGACTCTTTCGAATGTCCTTCAGAACTTTTCAAAGTAAAATCTCTCAATGAACTCAACATGAAGCATTTCTTCAAAAACGTTCTCGCGCTTTTATTTTGGAGGCACAATCACAAGAGGAAGTGATTGTGTGAGTAACTGTTTTTGTCATGACAGATCTATTTCAGCATCAGCTGCTATCAATTTATTAATTTTTTATTTTTCTGCTATCAAAGCAATCTGGCCACGGGCCAGATATTATTGCTGGCGGGCCAGTTCAGTGCCATACAGAGCAACCTATAGGAGTGACAGCTGTTAACGGTAACAACACATTTTTAATTAGGGTTATTGGTTGCATTTGAAGCAATAAGTTTTTCATCCAATCAAAGTTAGGATGTTAACAAACAAATCAGACAATGCAAAAGCAATTTATTTATATTCTAAAAGCATGTGTTACTATTTTAGCCCTCTGACTGACTGAAGGTCTACACATGACATGTTGGTAGTTAGCATGACTGTGACTTTTCCAGCTTGCCTGACCTGGTCTTGTTCAGTGCAGTAGTGACTTGCTTATACAAACTGAGGAGGCAGTTGTCATCCTAAATTTTGTTGAAGGTCTTCAGCATAATCTGATTTTGTTACACTAGTATAAACATAACTGTCCCGGGCAATATTTATATCCCCAGTACATCCGCGGGCTCCAGGCGGTCAATGGACATAAAGTTGTTACTGTGATGTGGACACGTGAAAGATAAATTTGTCACCCATTGGAATGTGGACTACAGTTTTGAAGCCTTGAGTTTCGTAGTTTGGCCGCCATATTTGATTTTTTGCAACCCGCGGCACCGGACGTGACTATATTTTGACAAGGCGGTGTTGCTAGCAACAGCTTGGTTAGCTAGGTGAATCTGTAATTCACGTTAAAATATTTTAACTTTTTTGCAAGTGAAAAACATGTTTTAAAAGAAAACATACTTACAGGAAAATATTAATGGACGACTCCTGATAAGCTTGTTCATCGGAGCTCGTTGAATTTACACAGTGCAGGCGATACCAGTCACTTTAGCCTGGTAGTCAATAACAAGGTAGTCCCGCATACCCTGCTTTATCATTTATATTTCTCTAAATGGGAAGGTAATTTACTAAATAAACATCATGCTGTGTTGAAGAAGACTTGAAACTAACGATTGAGACTATAAACTCATTAGCAAAGTGTTTACTGATGTTAATAAATTAGGTGAAAAGTAGCCTCATTTTACCATTGTCTCTAATGCAATTCGACTTCTTTTTCTAACCGCAGTAATCGCCCCCTACTGGCCGTCAGGAAGAATACAGGTTTAAGTTACTTCTGCTTCGGCTTCACTCGACCAACACCAGCTCCGTTGGTGGCCCAGCCGATTCCTGTTCCCTCGTCGGTGGTCCGACCAACACCAGCTTCGTTGGTGGTCCGATCGACTCCTGTTCCCTCGTTGGTGGCCCGACCAGCACCTCCTTCGCAGGTGGTCCAATCGACTCCTGTTCCCTCGTCGGTGGTCCGACCAACACCAGCTTTGTTGGTGGTCCGATCGACTCCTGTTCCCTCGTTGGTGGCCCGACCAGCACCTCCTTCGCAGGTGGTCCAATCGACTCCTGTTCCCTCGTCGGTGGTCCGACCAACACCAGCTACGTTGGTGGTCTGATCGACTCCTGTTCCCTCGTTGGTGGCCCGACCGGCACCTCCTTCGCCGGTGGTCCGATCGACTCCTGTTCCCTCGTCGGTGGTCCGACCAACACCAGCTCCGTTGGTGGCCCAGCCGACTCCTGTTCCCTCGTCGGTGCTGCGACCGGCACCGGCTTTGCTGGTGATCCGATCGACTCCTGGTCCCTCGTCGGTGGTCCGAACGGGACCTGCTTCGCCGGTGGTCAGACCGACTCCAGCTCCTCGCGTCCGGTCCATGGTTCTCAGCCCAGCTGTCCAGTCGGTAGTCAGACCGACTCCAGCTCGTCGGGTCTGGTCCATGGTTCTCAGCCCAGCTGTCCAGTCGGTGGTCAGACCGACTCCAGCTCATCGGGTCTGGTCCATGGTCCCCAGCCCAGCTGTCCAGTCGGTGGTCAGACCGACTCCAGCTTCTCGTATCTGGTCCATGGTCCTCAGTCCCGCGGGACGCCCACCTGAACTGTTTTGCCCTCCTGATCTGCTTGGTCGACCTCCGGGTCTGCCCCCTGAACTTTTGTTCACCTCTGGCCGCCTCGGTCGGCCTCCTGAACTGCCTTGCCCTGCCTGTATTTGGCCCTTTGAGGCTTTTTGTTTTGTTTTTCTGGCCCTCCGCCCAGCCTGACCTGTTATTTTTTTTTGTGTCATGTTTCGTTTTAGGACGTCAGGGGCCGTCCTTTTGGGGGGGGGTACTGTCACACTCTGCCTGTCTGCCATGCTGTGTTTTGCACTTTTGTGTTTAGTTAGCTTTATTTTGGTCTGTTGGGTTTTGGGGGTCTGTCTTGTCTGTCGTGTAGTGTTCGGTAACCCTTGTCATGTCTGTTACCCCAGTGATCCCTCTGCATTTCTGTCTGTTTTCCCCTGCTCTCTCTCTCCCTGCCTGTGCCTCGTTAGCCTCATGTCTGTAACCTGTGTTGCTCCCGCCCTGCTCGTTAGTCCCTGTGTGTATATATAACTGGTGTTTCTGTCTTATCTTTGTTGGGTCATTGTTTGTTGTCACCCAGCGTTGTGGTGCGTTCGCTTGTTGTCAGCCTCACTTGTCGTGTCTCCTTGTTTCCCTGCTCGTTTTGGATTTTGGTTTTCTGTTGGACAACCTTTGTTTTGGACTTAGTCTTTCAGCCACTCTGTCTGTAAGTGTTCTCGCTTTTTGTTGCCCTTAAAATATATTTAATTTAAAAAAGCATGATCCACTTGATCCACTCACTGTATGATTAATGTGCTAATACAGAGCAAACCCACACTTTAGCATACACAATATTATTAATATCTCAATACAGAATATAAAAAATGATAAATGAAGAAGTCACATTAATGTGCAAATGAGCAAACTCTGAATGTGATATGATGTGGGTTATTTTTTATCACTTCAGGTTGTTTGTGAATTTACTGACCTTACAAGTGGTGATGTTGACTCCCTTGATGAAGAGGCTCTTCTGGCTGAAACGCACACGCTGCCCCACCCAGACCTCACGGTATGTTTTGACATTTAATCTTTCAGGTTGTAGGCTGTATTTCATTTATATCATAATTATTTATTTAAATAGTTGAATAAGTCATTACTTTTGACATGTATCTTTTTTATATAGTATACAGTATACCTGATTATATTGTTGTTATATGCTGATTCATTCATTCCAATGAGAATGGCTCTTAAAAATGTCTAACTGACTCTTCCTAAACAATTACTGACTTTAAAATGGATGTTATGTTAAAACTACCAGGAGTTTTGAGAAACTGTAATAAAAATAACTTAAAAAACAATTCAGTGAATGCTGACATGAGTTTTAGAATTAAATTTTTATATATGTGTAGATGTTGCAAAGCAATGTGATATTTACACATTTTTGTCACATAGTGTTCATAAAGGTTCTCCCGGTATCACCACCCTACCACCCACCACACTACCTGTGTCTCCCATCTTGGCCACCCCAGTTATATGTTCTGGAAACGCCACAGGTGAAAAGAGGTGCTTCAGCAATGTGCAGTATGACACAAAATATGGTGTTTTTTTGAAAATTCAACAATCTAAACCTTAGACCCAAAAGCACAACTCAGAAAACAGGAAAGCGAAATGTCGCACAGGAGCTATTCCTCAGATGGTGTCTGGGGATGAATGGCGTTGAACTACAAGCAGTCGACTTGTAATTTATCAACGCTTCACATGGAGTCAGCTGCCTGTCTGGTTTGTAAAGAGTCTAAGGTGATGGCTAGTAGCTGAATTCCCCGCTCGCGCAGCGCTGTTCACATTTGATGCATGGCAGGTTAATTCTTTGTTCACTTTTATTTGTAGTTTACGTTGTATCTATACTTGTTAAATGTCAGCATCTTCACATGGTCACTGTGAGCATGTTCGCATACTGATAACTCGAAGCATTGCCTCTTTTCTGTTCATCCTTTTTTTTTTTTAGCTCTTGTTGAAGCTAGTTTCATACTTTCAGTTTTGTTTTGCAGTTTGGTATTTAAGCCTTTCAGTGGAAGGAGTCTTGCAGTTAAACTGAGAGCACGAAGCAGCATCTCCTCTAAACCAAGCCACCTCATTAGGTAAGACATCGTGTGAGTTTTTTATGCAAAAACAATTGTAGATACTTAATGGTATGACTGAAAGTTTACAATAAATACTAAATTGTGCAGTATGTGTCAGTAATTAATATTTTTAATTGACTGATTTTATTCAGTACAGAAATTTTTTATCTTGTCCAATCTGATTCACTTCATCAACATAATTCTGCTGGTTTGCCATTGAGTAAATACTTTTTGGGCTAAATGTAATTACAAATAAAATATAATTTGCTGTAAATCTTCTGTTCCACAGGCAGTTCCTACAGAGCAACTCAAGCTTTAATCAGCTGCTGACATTTCTACATTTTCTTTGGGAGTAAACTCCTGTCACTAAGATGAACGGTAGGCAAACACCATTTATAAGAATAAGTGCATACTTTGCTCTAAGAAATATAGTGGACTAAAAAGACTGATGACCTTTTAGTAAATATTTAGTTCATTTCTAACTTCAGTGTCTCCAGTGAGCTGCCAGATTTAACTGGATGATAAAAATGACAATGCAATGTTTTTTTATTATACACTGTAAACTATAAAAAGTCAAACTTTGAATGATAAATTAACTTGCCTTTCTGTCAAACTCAGACAATGAGGATAAGTAAATTACTTTTTAAATGGTCAATCAAAAATAAATTGTACACTGCTGGGCTGTTACCCTATTTTCTGTGTTAATATTTTGATTTTAAAAAATTGTAATGTTATGAGAAATCCAAATTTGGAGAGAAAAATTACAAGATTCACAAGAGAACAAATAAAACAATTATAGTTTTTGAGAGTAAACAGGTGAAAAAAATGTTGTTAAATGTTATTATACTGCATGTTTCAACATACCTCAGTATTAATGTTTTATAGAACTGAAACAACCAGACTTGATCACTCCTGAATTGTCACCTCAACCCTACAAATTAAGATGAAATACAGAATATCAGATGGTCTTAGGTGGACTTCTGTTTGGAACTCGGGTGAGACTGACAAACCTCATATGTACAGTAAATGGCAATTTAGGTTGATTGTCCAGCATCCCAAAACGACATGTACGACCGTTTCCCATCACATGACATAAACACGTGGCGACCACAGCGACACAAAGGAGGTAAAACCCAGCAGCTAGCAGATCGCCTGTGAGGCCGATGTACACAGCTGTGGGGTTCACTGGTCGACATGCATACAGTCCCTGACTTAGGTTAAGGCACACACCCCTGTGAAGGTTAGGGTAAGGGTTAGGGGCTACGGGAACTGTCAACGCCTTTAACACTAACATAGTGAGGACGGGCTGAAAACTGGGCTTTTAAGTCACAGCTAGAGTGCAACAAAAGTTTATGGTTTTGGAAAAGGATGAAAACTGGATGTTTTATGACTCCTCTTAAATAATGACTTTTGCCATAAAATGGTATTTTTGTAACAAAATACTTTTTCTCAAAACATTACTATTGAAATATACATACTGTATATATATGTCATTTTCTTGCAGTGGGCTTTGAGATCGAAGGGCCCAATGCCGGCACAAACGTCGAAGCCTCTTTATCGTCTCCCAGTGTCACAGCCTTTGTGAAAGCACAAGTTGCCAGTACTTCCCTCACCATTGGTCCTGTGAAAGCTAAAGTGGGCCTTGCAGCAGATACTGGTGCCAAGATCGGTTTGACAGGTGTAGAGGCAAAGGTGCTGGGAACAGGCATCTCCTTTGGTCGTAAAATGGGCATTTCTCTGTTTGGCACTGGAATTGAATTTAATTTGTGGTAAACTGTCGCTTTGTGGCAAACACTACTGTTGTGTCTTCTTTTCAAACAAAGAAACAATGTAATCATGTAAAATTTGCTGTATGTATAAATGAAAATTGTTCTTGTGATGATGTACATCTTTACTGCAGATAAAACATTTTACCTTGATATAAGATTTTTTAGTGTGTCATTATTTTAGATTCTGTCACACTGAAAATTAAGTGCACAAATAAGATTGTACTTTTACAGAAATGATGACTACAGGAATGATGTTTATCTATTAATGCAGTGACAGGCATTAATCTGGCTGTACAGGAATCACAGGTACCCTGTTTGTGGCAAAAACACAACAGACAAGCAGTCTTAATCTAGAACTATAAAACACACAAATTATGATAATGAATGTATAGTGACTGTCACTGTGGCTGAACACTGAATTTCCTGAAACAGGAATTTGGCTACGGAAGCCCCAAGAGGCAAGTGAGAAAACAAGTCTGATCTAAATTGTTTTCTCTCCTGTGTTTATGACTTAAGAATGGGTGGGGAAGAAAGCATTCATGAGTTTTAATTTCTCCATGAACTCTAAACACAATGTACATAATACGTCAGACGTTTTGTAGAGGAGATACGTCACTCAGTCAAATCCTCAATACAACTCTATGGGGAAAGCCTGTAACGGCAAAGATGGCGGTTATCCCGCCTCTCCCGCTAGAAAGCCAATCGTCTGCTTTTAACAGCCAAAGCAGGAAACTGATATGAAATATTTCAGCCAATCATGTGGTTCCACTGATGTAAGGGTCTGTTTACCTTCTACTGCGCATGAGTGGTAGTGGTGACGCATGTGTAGAAACATAACCGGTCGGGAAAAAAACGCTTTTTGAACCTGAACCTTGGGACAAAGTCGTCAAACTTTCAGCGATTTTTACTAGATTTTACTGCTGATTTTATTCACATAGTTTTTATGTCCCGGTGACCAGTGAAAGTGCAGTTCTGGCTCTCTCCTGATTCATTCAGATAGGAGCCTGGACTTGTTAGTCCGAAATAGCTGCCTGGAAGCGTTGCCAAGATGGCTGCCGACTGGCATGACATACCTATAGGGACTTTGATAATACTGTGTGTTAGCAAGTTATGTAACTTTACCTTCATGTGTTTCTTTTGGCTGGAAACGTCTTTTAATTGGCTCTTCTCCTGGGAATTAACACTTTTAGTCCTATGGGGAGCCTAAGTCTCTCCCTTCCACTTCTGCCCCACAGGACCTTATTTCAGAAAACATTTGTACGGTAATCAAAGGGGAGAGACAACTTTTTTTTTTTTTTCATCCCATTAGAATTGTGCCCTGAATGATATTTATTTAAAAGATAATTTTGTTTGTCAAGAAAGTCGTAGTTTGACTACCTTACATGGCACAGTGGTCCACTTCAGCCTCTGGTGTCCAATATGAGTATTACAACAACAACAAATGCAAATTATCCTGTTCTTAAAGGTACTGCATGTAAGAACGTTAAGCAATTTACATATATTAATCACATTTTATTTGTGAACTGATTGAAATGTATCTTGTGGACTGATTTCTATGTAAAGGATTGATAAAAGGATGATTTTTCTGGGAAAATTCCAAGAATGTGATGTTTATACTCAATACTGGACCAAAAAACATGGGAATATAGGGTCCAGGTTGAAAATTTCTTTAGTTACCCTTTAAGTAAAACATATCAATACATATAGTGACCTACTTATGTCACCACTGAGAACAATGAAGGAAAAGGTAAACTAACTGCACTAACTGCATAACTAAGTGCACTTCTTTTCAGCAGTAGGTATGATGTCATTGTTCTTGAATAAAACAAAAGGTTAGAGGTTACAGTAGATTTTGTCCTGATTGCTGCTGGTTTCATCCACAGATGGGGAGGTGGAGTCTGACTGGAGAGCACTTCTCATGGGTGGTAAACTGAAAAAACAGGTACCTTTACTCATGTGATAAAGAATTACAGTACATGTTTAATACATTGGTATCATGAGTCCTTAGAGGATCCAGACACAGCTAAATTAAAGAAAGTCATGTTCCTGTCATCTGACTGCCCCCTGGTGATCAAACCTGGACAGCACAAAGTACAATAAATTATTTCTGTGTCTGAATGAAACATAGTGGCAACACAGACAGTGTTTGAAAGTAGTCTTCCATTTGTAGAGGAGCAACACAACAACAGCATGCAGCACAACCACAGTGACACATACAATCAGGGGCAGGACGTAACCTGGGTGAGAGAACGACAAAGGGAAAGAGGAGAGAGAAGTTATAAGGTCAAACGGGAAGGGAAAATTGTGTTGTACTGTGCTGATGTTAACATTAATAAATGTCTCCATAAAAATACTGCTAATTAGTTTTTCCACATAAGTTTTGAGATGTAATGTCCCTTTGGATTTTGTTTAAAGTGAAGGAAGCTCAATGTTATTTTTATTTTAATTTTTGGGGTAGTCATCATTAGTGATGATGAACATACAAGGTGCAGGACTGTGACACCTGTGTGCACCCTCTCCTGCATGTGGTTAGGTTTAGACAACAAAAACACATTAAGACCCTGTGTTTGGTAAAATATCAATAAAGTAAACATGCTATGTGTCATGCTTCAAGTCACTTTGCCTTTTTAGGGATGACAGTGACGGTTAACTTTGGTAATCCCCTGACTTTTACTCACGCTATCATCTGGTCAAAATATAATTTCATCCAACATTTTGGTTTTTGACCAAATACCTGCAAAACTAATGACACATTCCAATTAGCCAATGTTAGCATGCTAACATGCTGAGACGGTGAACATGGTAAACATTATTCTTGCTAAACATCAGCATGTAAGCAGTATCATTGTGAGCATGTTGGCATGCTGACATTAGCACTTTGCTCAAAGAAACCAGTGCCTACAGCTTCAGAGAGCGACTAGCATGTCTGTTGACTCTCAGTCCTATTCTGTATAAAATCTAGAAAACAATCTTTCCCTAACCTTATCCAAGTGACTGCGTAAACATAACTATAAACAATTTAAACACATGCTACTTGGCAATACGTTGTCTGGGAACATTTTGTGACATGTCAGTTATTTCTTTCTCGTTACATGTATAAAAACACAACTCAAGTGGCGTTATGTTTCTCACTAAACATATGTATCGATATTAACATAAATTAAAGCTGCAAGCAGCGTTGGGCGGGCCCTCGCACTTGTAGCGCGTCCGGGTGTGAGCCGGCCGAGTTGCATATTCTGGAGCTCTGCCGGTGCGGCTGTGAATTTGCTACGCGGTTCAGATGCCGCATGAAGGTGTTATATGTCACTTCCTGTGTCACCTATGTGAAGCTACATAGCACTTGCCGCTATGAATATAAATCGGTATTGGTGTGTAGATGTCTGCGGGGTATGGAGGACCGATCCTGACACAGTCAGAAATAAATACAGAAATAAGTAAATGCTTAATAAATAAATAAGCATCCAATTAAATACACAATGGCGCAACAACCTTTTTGGACAAATGTAGGCCCACACACATTATTTAGCACAAGAACGGACACTGTTGTTTCTCCTGGGCGCTTGGAAAGGGAGGGGTGAGTGGTGCATTAATGTAATGTTGGAATTATCAGATCTATTTTTCCTCCTTAAATCTTTAATCCAAAAAGAGACATAAAGTCTATGTGGGCCATAAAGAAGTATACAGAACTTTGATTTGTGCAAACTCACATATTGTTTATACACATTTTGCAAACATGTAATTTGTAATATGGTTATAACGGTTAATTTTCTGTCCATGTAGAGTGAATTAGATGTCTGTATGTTGTTGATACGCTCGGATAATGCTAAACCAACACATCTGTGTAGTAGCATCCATGTCAATTCCACATTCGGACTTTAGAGCAAATGAACACACACCGAAGTCGGAAGAACAAATTCACAACTCGGGAAATGGGACCATTTGAGGAGTACACTCACCTAAAGGATTATTAGGAACACCTGTTCAATTTCTCATTAATGCAATTATCTAATCAACCAATCACATGGCAGTTGCTTCAATGCATTTAGGGGTGTGGTCCTGGTCAAGACAATGTCCTGAACTCCAAACTGAACGTCAGAATGGGAAAGAAAGGTGATTTAAGCAATTTTGAGCGTGGCATGGTTGTTGGTGCCAGACGGGCCGGTCTGAGTATTTCACAATCTGCTCAGTTACTGGGATTTTCACGCACAACCATTTCTAGGGTTTACAAAGAATGGTGTGAAAAGGGAAAAACATCCAGTATGCGGCAGTCCTGTGGGCGAAAATGCCTTGTTGATGCTAGAGGTCAGAGGAGAATGGGCCGACTGATTCAAGCTGATAGAAGAGCAACTTTGACTGAAATAACCACTCGTTACAACCGAGGTATGCAGCAAAGCATTTGTGAAGCCACAACACGCACAACCTTGAGGCGGATGGGCTACAACAGCAGAAGACCCCACCGGGTACCACTCATCTCCACTACAAATAGGAAAAAGAGGCTACAATTTGCAAGAGCTCACCAAAATTGGACAGTTGAAGACTGGAAAAATGTTGCCTGGTCTGATGAGTCTCGATTTCTGTTGAGACATTCAGATGGTAGAGTCAGAATTTGGCATAAACAGAATGAGAACATGGATCCATCATGCCTTGTTACCACTGTGCAGGCTGCTGGTGGTGGTGTAATGGTGTGGGGGATGTTTTCTTGGCACACTTTAGGCCCCTTAGTGCCAATTGGGCATCGTTTAAATGCCACGGCCTACCTGAGCATTGTTTCTGACCATGTCCATCCCTTTATGGCCACCATGTACCCATCCTCTGATGGCTACTTCCAGCAGGATAATGCACCATGTCACAAAGCTCGAATCATTTCAAATTGGTTTCTTGAACATGACAATGAGTTCACTGTACTAAAATGGCCCCCACAGTCACCAGATCTCAACCCAATAGAGCATCTTTGGGATGTGGTGGAACGGGAGCTTCGTGCCCTGGATGTGCATCCCACAAATCTCCATCAACTGCAAGATGCTATCCATCAATATGGGCCAACATTTCTAAAGAATGCTTTCAGCACCTTGTTGAATCAATGCCACGTAGAATTAAGGCAGTTCTGAAGGCGAAAGAGGGTCAAACACAGTATTAGTATGGTGTTCCTAATAATCCTTTAGGTGAGTGTATATGAATGCACTGTGAGCCATTAGTTGCAGTTTGCAACTCTCACCACTGGATGCCACTAAAACTTACACACTGAACCTTTAAGCCACTCAGTGGATGTAGTCTTAGAGTTAAAAAGCACGTAGCATCTCCTATAAACCAAGCAACCTCGTCAGGTAAGTACTCATCTGAGGTTTATTATGCAAACAAATGTATAGATGCTTAATGAGATGATCGATATTTTACAATAAATACTAAATGGTGCAGTGTGAATCAATAATTTATATTTTTTAATTGGCTGATTTTGTTCAGTACAGAATAATGAAATGATATTTTGATTTTATCCTTTTTGTTTTAATGTTTCAAATCTGACTCAATTCATCAACACAATTCTGCTCGTTTACCACTGATGAGCAAAAATACTCTTTGGTCTAAATGTAATGTAATATAAAATATAATTTGCTGTTCTTTCTACTTGTGGCAGTTCCCACAGTGAAACCTTAGTTTTAATCTGCTGCTGACATTTATACTCTTTCTTTCAGAGAAAACTACTTGTCCTGAAGATGTCAGGTAGGCATACATCATTCATTAGAAGTGTATACTTTCATCTAAGAAATATAGAAAATAAGGACTTCTAAGGAGACGGATTACCTTTTATTAAGTGTTTGTGAAAACCGGTGAAAATAATGGATCTCTGACATTTATAAAACTGAAAAAATCTAACTTGATAACTCCTGAAATTGTCAACTCAACTCAACAAATTGGGATTAAATATAGAATATGAGATTGTCTTTGTTGGACTTCTGTTTGGAACTGGGAGGAGACAGGCAAACAGTGACAAAATTGATCTGAATCACAGCTAGAGGGCAGCAGACATCCTCCAGAAGTTTATGGTGTTGGGAAAGAATGAAAGCCTTGTGCATTATGATTCTCCTTAAATAATTACTTTTGCTACAAAATGGTATTTGTTATTCAAAATATTTGAACATAACAAACTTTTTAAAAAATGTTACAGTTGAAATATGATTAACTATGTTATTCTTTTGTAGAAGTGGGCTTTGAGATGGAAAAACATTATTTCTAATGTCCAAAAAACTGATGAATGTCACTTCAACCATTCCTCTTGCTCATGATGACACAGTGAATCAAGGCTGACTAATACAACTAAACAAACACTAATAATGCTATTTATCATGAGCAAGTACCCTTTTAGACATTTTACTGGCTCTCAAATATAACGTAATAAATGTAAGAGTTAATCATCACTGCAAATCGGCACAATTCCACTGCATACACTTGCTGATACCTTTAAGCAAATATTACTTATTTCAACAATTTCAGCACACAAAAAAAAGTATTCACATTAATGTTGCCTTTCATGCATGAAGCTAGTGCTAATGCACAGAATGTATACTACTAGCTAGCTAACGTTCTGACAAGAATTTAGCATAACATTGCGAGACAATTTATAATTTATAAAATTATCATATTAATAACGCTGCAAAAATTATCACAATAAACAGTGATATAGCCTTTTAACACTTATATAACATTTTAGTTTTTAATAAAGAGACAGTAGGCTACACACAATGGCTGTTATCATAATATAACCCCCCTCCCAATTCAATTATGCTCAAAATTGAATGGGGTGTGTGTGTGTGTGTGTGTGTGTGTGTGTGTGTGTGTGTGTGTGTATATATATATATATATATATATATATATATATATATATTATGGCATGCCGTTTAGGAAATAATATATATATTTATGGTTTGTCTGTCTGAATATATGGAATGAAAGTCTGAATATATGGAATGAAAGTCTGAATATGTAGAATGGAAGTCTGAATATATGGAATGGAAGTCTGAATATATAGAATGAACCTTGAATATATGGAATGAAAGTCTGAATATATGGAATGAAAGTCTGAATATATGGAATGGAAGTCTGAATATATAGAATGAACCTTGAATATATGGAATGAAAGTCTGAATATATGGAATGAACCTTGAATATATAGAATGAAAGTCTGAATATATGGAATGAACCTTGAATATATAGAATGAAAGTCTGAATATATGGAATGAACCTTGAATATATGGAATGGAAGTCTGAATATATGGAATGAACCTTGAATATATGGAATGAAAGTCTGAATATATGGAATGAACCTTGAATGTATGGAATGAAAGTCTGAATATATGGAATGAAAGTCTGAATATATTGAATGGAAGTCTGAATATATGGAATGAAAGTCTGAATATATTGAATGGAAGTCTGAATATATGGAATGAACCTTGAATATATAGAATGAAAGTCTGAATATATTTAATGGAAGTCTGAATATATGGAATGGAAGTCTGAATATATGGAATGAAAGTCTGAATATATGTAATGAAATCATCATCTGACATCATTAAGGCACTGGCGCCATCTTGTGTTTTTGATTTGATTAATCCGTATGGATGAAATTGTGACACTATGAGCGAATAAGTAAGAAATCTAGTGTCAGCTATTTGGAGCATTGAAGAGATTACAAACACACTAGCAAATGCATGTACACGCCATAATACTGGAAACCATATCCAGTAGTTCTCCTGATGAAATAATTTATTCTCTTTAATCGTGGAAGACTGAATGCAGGAAACCTCCCAGGCCAGGCAGTTCCCGTTTATCAGGAAAACAAGCCTTCAACCTCACACGTGCCCCCACAACAGCTTAAGTTAGTTCGCATCCGAACTAATCTTTTAAACACCAAAGTCACAGAAAAAATAACCTGGCAGCGGTAACATTTTTTGTCAGTGGAGTTCGGTGGCTTTGAAGAGAGCGATATAACAGCTATTTCTGGTTAAACACAGGATCTTACTCTTTAAAAAGTTACTGCCTGAGCCCTTTTGGGTGGACATACGAAGATTGTTTATAGGGGTTGTTGTGGGGGGCATCTGTGACGTTAAAGGCGTATTTCAGTTTGCCTGATAAACGGGAACTGCCTGAACTGGGAGGGTTCCTGCATTTGGTCTTCCACGATAATAGGGAATACATTTCTAGATCAGGAGAACGGTACTGGATGTGGTTTCCAATATTTTGGCTCATACATGCATTCGCCAGTGTTTTTATAATCTCTTCATTGCTCAAAATTGCGGGCGTTGGACACTTTCTTGCTGATTCACTAACAGTGTCACACTTCATATCAATGACGTCAGATTTCATTCCATATATTCAGACTTTCATTCCATATATTCAGACTTTCATTCAATATATTCAGACTTCCATTCCATATATTCAGACTTTCATTCAATATATTGAGACTTCATTCCATATATTCAGACTTTCATTCAATATATTGAGACTTCATTCCATATATTCAGACTTTTATTCAATATATTGAGACTTCATTCCATATATTCAGACTTTTATTCAATATATTGAGACTTCATTCCATATGTTCAGACTTTCATTCCATATATTCAGACTTTCATTCCATATATTCAGACTTTCATTCAATATATTGAGACTTCATTCCATATATTCAGACTGACAAACTTCATATATATATATTATTTCCTAAACGGCATGCCATAATATATATATATATATATACATACTGCAACTTACCACATCATAGGTGTCATTTACACTGGTGACCCTGGGGACATGTCCCCACCACTTTTTTAAATGGCTGATTTTGTCCCCACCTGTTTTTTTAAAGCACTTGCTAAAATTATTCTGAAAATTAGCTTGTAACAAGAAATATTCTATGAGAAAGGTTTACTTGCACAATAGGATACCATGAAATGCAATGTGAATATAAAAGAAATACATCTGCCTTGTCCAACAAAAAGTAACTTAGGCTAAAAAAACAAGCTACTGATTAATGCATTATATAATTATATAATATATTATAGCCTATTCTGAATTGCCACCAGCCACATGAATTTTGTTTCCCTTCATATAAATAAAGACATTTCACCATAAGTTGGTGCAGAAAATGTCTCTTGAAAGCAGGAAATCAAGAGTTTAATGCTCAAAATCATAAATATTTATTCCTTCTAAATACCATTGGACTATCTTGTTGTCTTGTTCTCGTGACTCCAATACTGTGCATTATTATGTGTCATGTACTAAGTGTTTTGTCGCACCCCTAATCTGAACCCTTAAATGTCCCCATCACTTTTCAAAGTGACGCCCTTGGGAATAATCATTAGCAAATGTTATGATAATCATAACTAAAGAGAACAGATTTTACAAACAGAACGAATGATCATGTTAATATGATAGGCCAACTGTGCTATAGATTAAACTTTGACATTATGCAACATTAAAATGCTGTTTGCATGTTAAAGCATCAGTACAAAAATTCAGATATTATAGAACATATAATCAAAAAACTCTTTGAAATGGACCAGTTTTACCATGGTCCAACAAGTACTTTACTTACTTTAGTATTTTAAATACATTCAGCTGTTGTAAGTTTACTTAAGCAAAATCTTTAATGTAGGACTTTTTACTTCAGCACTTCAGTGGACACAATTTACTTTGGCAACGATTACGCCGCAGCCCTGTTCAGCAGCATCCGACTAAACCGCCCTTGCTCAAAACTAGACAAATTCCAAAAAATGTTAATCCATTTAGTCACACAAAAATATGGGGAAATAGAGACCAGGTTGAAAACATCTCGTAGTTACCCTTTAGGTAAAACATATCAATACATAAAGTACTTATTCTACCACTGAGAGATAACAGCAAAGTAAAAGGTAAAATAAATAAATGAATTTTAGCATGGGTATGATGTCATTGTTGCTGTAAAATGTTACTGCGTGCAAAATAAAAGGTTAGAGGTTACAGTAGATTTTGTCCTGATTGCTGGTTTCATTTTCACGTGGGGAGGGGGAGTCTGCACATCTGCAGACTGGAGAGGACTTCTCATGGGTGGTAAACTGAAAAAAAAAAAACAAGTACCTTTACTGATTTGATAGGAAATGTCAGTAAATGTTAAATACATTGGTATCATGAGTCCTTGGAGGATCCAGACACAGCTAAGGTTAAGAAAGTCACCTCCATGTTCCTGTCATCTGACTGCCCCCTGGTGATCAAACCTGGACAGCACAAAGTACAATAAATTATTTCTGTGTCTGAATGAAACATAGTGGCAACATAGACAGTGTTTGAAAGTAACTCACCATCAGAGTTCCTCCTTGTCTTCCATTTGTAAAGGAGCAACACAATAACAGCATGCAGCACAACCACAGTGACACATACAATCAGAGGCAGGACGTAACCTGGGTGAAAGAACGAGAAAGGAAAAGAAGAGCGAGAGGTTAAAAGGCCAAATAGGAAAGGAATAATGTGTTGTACTGTGCTGGTATTAACATTAATTAATGTCTCTAAAAAATACATTTATAAACTGCTAATTCGTTTTTCCAAATAAGTTTTGAGATGTAATGTCTGTTTGGATTGTGTTTTGAAACCCAATGTTATTTTTATTGTAATTTGTGGGGAAGTCATCATTAGTGATGGTGAACATACAAGGTGCAGGACTGTGATACCTATGTGCACCCTGTCCTGCATGTGGTTAGGTTTAGACAACAAAAACACATTAAGGGAAAGATCCTGTTTTTGGTAAAATATCAATAAGGTAAACTCTGTGTCTCATTTTCAAGTCACTTTTTAGGGATGAAAAGGATGGCTAACTTTATTCGTTCCCTGACCTTTACTCCAAATTTAGTCAAAATTCATTTTATCCAACATTTTGGTTTATGACCAAATACCCGCAAAACTAATGACACATTCCCATTAGCCTCAGCTATACCTTGTGCCAATTAGCAAATGTTAGCATGCTAACACGCTAAGATGGTGAACATGGTAAACATTATTCTTGCTAAACATCAGCATGTAAGCAGTATCATTGTGAGCATGTTGGCATGCTGACATTAGCACTTTGCTCAAAGAAACCAGTGCCTACAGCTTCAGAGAGCGACTAGCATGTTATTCAGTATAAAATCTAGAAAACAATCTTTCCCTAACCTTATCCAAGTGAGTGCGTAAACATAACTATAAACAATTTAAACACGTGCTACTTGGCAATACGTTGTCTGGGAACATTTTACCACATTTTGTGACATGTCAGTTATTTCTTTCTCGTTACATGTATAAAAACACAACTCAAGTGGCGTTATGTTTCTCACTAAACATATGTATAGATATTAACATAAATTAGAGGTATACTAACATAATTTCTAATAAATGGTTCCATAAAATATGCTAATTACTTAAATAATCTTGTAATATATGAGTCCAGGTGGATCTAAATATCACATGGGAAAAATGTCTTACATCATATAAAACTGTTAGTGTCTGTTTTACATCATGTAAACATTTTTAAAGATTGAAATGTTGTAAATGTATTACAATTTGGTTCGATATAGAGCAGACAAAAGCAAACAATGATTCAGTTTCAGCTCTGCAGGTTTTAACCTTTAACACCGTGAACTGCAGCTGTTGTTTCCCCAATCTGCTGCTGTTCAGGCTGCTTCATGGTCTCAGGAAAAGTCTTTGGAGCTGTGAAGAACAAAAACACACATTAATACTGTTAAATATATGGTATGATATACAGTGGGTCATGTTTGGTCATAAAGAGGCATTTGCTAACATTTAAGCAAATGAAAATGTGTAGCGCTAAATATGCTTATTAATCTAAATATGTCAGGATATTTAAAACATCAGCAGCTGCAGTCGCCAAAAAATGGAAATGAAATGCAAGGAGGCCAGCAGAGGTGTTCAGTTTCTTGGTAACATCCACAACGGTAAAAAATAAGTACGGCAACACTGTACTTTGAAACATACTATTTTTATATCTGCCACCTGTAGATACTTGCCAATCAGTTTTCTTAACCCATAAGCATTGATTTGTTATTAAGGAAGGCAAAAGATATCTCAGTTAAAACTGTACTATTTTTGGTAGAAAATTTTGAATGTTCAGGAGACAGAACTGGTGTTTCAGCTTAATTGTTTATTGTTTAATGGTCAAGAGCTCTTTTTAATTTATAATTAGTAGCTATAGAGCAATGGTTTTATGAGTGGGTAACTATTTTGTTTCTCTTGTCACGCAGGTGATTCCTGCCAATGGTTTCACATGATTCCGCTGATCTACAGGTAGTAAAATAATATTGTGCCAAGAAATGTAGCAATGCACTAGCAAAGACAGTGAAGAAGATGACTGCTATCAAGTCAATATAATTGTAAACAATGCAGGGCATCTTTAAAGGAATTAACTTCATATTGTGCAATTGTTCAGTAGTGTGCCCTGTAAGTAATGAAGTGTTCACAGCGAACATGAACCAAGTTCAAACAACAGAGTCTACAGCTACGGCTCTGTGAGGCTGTTATTATAGATACAAAATGTCTTACAGCTAAAGGCTAACTTCAGAATTCTATCATGGTCACAATGACAAAGCTAAAACACTGATTTTTAGTATAATGTTTACCACATTAATTTAGTTTAGTCCACACAGTTAGCATACAAACTTTTGCTTATTAACACTAAATAGAAAATACAGCTGAGGCTGATGGGAATTAGTTCTGTAGATATTTTGTCATAAACAAACTTCATTTCAATCCACCTAATAGTTGTTGAAATATTTTAGTCTGGACCAAAGTGGTGGCATCTCTTAAACTACACTAGCATGTCAAAATTTGTAAACAGATTGTATCCTGTGCTTCACTTTTTGGCCATAATCTTTACCTAACCTTAAGAAGTACTCTCAGTTACCATAAACATGAAAATGTCATGTTTTAGTTGCCATCAGATGATACCGTCGGAAAACTATTAAAATGCACTTTGCAAATACGTTCAGCATGAAGATTTTGCTTCCTTTAATTCTACTAAAACTCTTGTTTTCCTTCTTTATTTTGATAAGAGATGTGATTTTGGCAGCATTACATTTTCCTCACCAAGCTGGACTTCAGCAAATGTAGAAAAATTACAAAGACTCTCAGGAGAAACTCACCATCTGTAACTCTGATCTCAAACTCCAAATATGCATCAGGTAACAATCGTCTTTCCAAACCACACCTGTACCGTCCTGAGTCAGACTTGGTCAGCTGGGTGATGCTAACATACAGAACAGTAGAAGATAATGGAAAAGTTCCTTCTTTGTATTTGATGCTGTATTTGCCTCTCTGAGCTACGTCGCTATCAGTTTCTATGAGGATGTTTTCTTCTTTACATTCATCTTTACAGAGGAACTTTCTTCTTCCAAAGAGACTAAAATGGCATGCAGCTGTGACACTTCCTCCTTCAGTGCGGATGAGTGTTTCTGCATTGTTTCCACCACACAGAGCAGCTGAAAAAATGAACATTGAATACTGATGATAAGGACATTTTATTATAGACTTACTGTCAAAGAGACTGCAAGCTAATACATCATGTTACATTAAAGAGATGATGATACTAAAGTAGTAGTTGCTGATTAAGTATCATTTTTGTTTATTCCTTTAAATGAATAGCTAAAGGATAGGTTTACATGTATTCATGTCTGCCTACTCACATGACCTAATGTACATTGAAACAGTTTTTGTTTGCTGCAGTCATTCCAGTTTTAGCCTTCTATCCTTTCCTGACATCCGTCCGGTGGAAGTTCAAACTGGAGGAGATGGAGATGGAGGACAAAATCCACCATCCTTCTCCAAAATGTATCTGAAGTTAATATAAAGCTTAATCAGTGTGAGTTAATCATATCAAGTGGGTTTAATCCAAAGTTTTAGTCTTTTTTTGTGCAGAAATTTTGTCTTTCCACAGTGTTTCCATACTGAGCTGTGGAAGAGGGACAGTAACAAAAAGAGGGAATTTTATGATAAAAACTCTTGGAAGAAAAAACTTTGTTTCCTTGTTGAGGCCTCATATTAACTTCAGATATACTTTACAGCAACTTTATATCTCTTACAGTACATTGGAAGTGCATTAGGAAGGAATCTTACAATAGCTGGTATGAACAGCAAACAAAAATTGTGTTAATGTACTTATGGGCACTTTTGTTGTAAGACAGCCTTACATGTTCCTGCTGAAACACATCAGAGAGCAGTAACAAAGTCTTGATGGACAATAAGTAATTTACGTAGCAGCAACGTGATATATCATATTAGATAAACATTGGATATCTAAATAAGAAGGAACAAAACAGTTGTGATTAACAGCTGAATGAATTACACTAAGAACAACTGTACAAAGGGACATCAAGGTAATCAGTCCTCACCTGATAAGAAGCAGAAAAGCAGAACATGGTGCATATTCATTCTGAATTCAATCCAGACAAAGAAACATCATTATATGGGAGGAGAAGTGTTTTAATCACTCTTCTCTTTCAGGTGTGTGTGATCAATATGGAAGTTGCCAAATGTAATCTTTCCCTTCCCCTCTGTGGTTTAAAGCTTCATCTACACCCACAATAGGACAGTGATGGTGATGATGATGAAGGGTAGTTATTTAAAAAAATGAATTTTTAAAATCCTGGTTCAACCATTTAAAGCACTTTGTAACTTTGTTTTGAAAAGAGCTGTACAAATAAAATGTATCTTTATGTTATAATTATTACACAGAAATGTTATATGAAGCAGTTGTTTCATGATGAAGCTGCTGTGAAGCCTCTTTTCACACAGCAATGAATTTTGACTGAAGCCCCTTTTAAATCCTAATATAATTTTAAACAAAAACATTTGATTTGTTTCTCAGAAATATTAAATGCAGAATCCTTCAGCTGTTACTGGAAACTCTGTCAGTGCTGTGATCTAAAAATGGATCAAAAAGACCAGATCAGGTGTCTTTTTCACAGTTTTTCATTTCCTCATTGTGGTGCTACAACAGAAAGATGATGGAGAAGCTTTGATTATAGACCTGGGACAGGTTTTATTTAACTAACTATCCTACTCATAAGAATTAAAGCAACTTAATGAATGCCCTTAAATTTAAAATAGCTCCAGGGGGTCTCTCACAAATGTTAAAATTAGATACAATCTGATTGCATTACACAAAGAGAGGTGAACACACATGTCAAATATACAAAGCTATCATTGGTCATAATGAATAAAATGTTAGCTAAGGCAACATGCATTATTAAGAATGTTTCTGATCTGATTTGAACATTTGATAAAACGTTCCCCCACACTGTTTAATGTAGAAAAGGCATAAGATATGGAATGGAAGGAGGATTTTCCATTCATTTCAAGTAGACCACCTTGCAGTTTATACAGTTAATGCAGGTAAAACTATAACAGTTTGTTTTCAGACTCAAGACTTATTATAACTATCATTCACATCCTAGAGGAGACAGGACATAATAAATTGAATGTATGAAAAATTATTCAGACTTCAAAATATGTTATATTTAACTAGTTTTCAGCTCAAAGGAGATTTAAAAGGAATGAAATGGCAGATACAAGATGAATCTAGCAAAGCAGAAGAAACTGGAATAATAAAGAACAATGTTATTAAAGAATGGAAACATAAATTGGAGAAGGCAAAAAATAGGCCGATATAATCAAGGAATTTAGTGGGCACCAGTAGAAAGAAATACCTGAGAGGAAAACATAATAACAAAGAGGAGATTGGGACACGCATGACTAAATAAAACATAACATGTAAACCATTCATCTGGTGTGAGTGAGCATCGTCAAACAGAAAAGACAGTTTTTTTCAATTCAGTGTGAAACCCAAACTCAACAGAGCTCTGATCTAAAGCTAAATACATCCAGTAATACTATTTGAAATCATGGAAATACACTGTGACACTGTGGTCACACACTCATTTGGGTTCCTGCGCACAATAACTGGCTAAACAAGTGAGTAAAAAAAACAAACATAGACACCATAATTTAACTTTCAAAATTTAGAGGGAAAGGATATTGCATGGAAGAAAATAAAGAGTGGCAGCAACACTGGGATCAGGAGATAAGAGGAAGATAAGAGAGTCAGTATTAAGAGAAACAAGGGAGGAAAAAGAAAAGAGGAGGTAGGAATGACCGGACTTATAGGACACACTGACCTGAACGGGACTCTCCATACTATAGGTGATACGACCCTGTCCCGAGCTTGTCTGGGTTATATTATTTTGGCCAGGCCTTTTCTGTATTTTGATTTTGCTTTCTCTGTGTCTGGGTTTTGGGTTTCAGTCCTGTCTATCTGTGGTCTTGTATCCAGTCTCCTGTTTGTCGGTGTGGTGGTTCTGATCTGTCCTGTTATCTCGGTGTCTGTCTTAGTACTTGTTTAGTTCTGTCCTGTCCCTCATGTCTTGTTCTCTACCATCATGCTTGGGTTATGTTAGTCTGTTTGCCAGTTTCATTAATTAATCTGATTTTGTTCATTCTGCTTTAGTCTCTGTGTAGCCTTCATTATTTCATTCATCCACATCTTTTAGTTACTACTTATCTGCCTTTTCTCGTATCCTAGTTCCTAGTTCATGTCTTAAGTGTTTACTCCTGGTCTATGTACCTCTGAGTTTGGTTTTATCTTTGCTTCCGTCTGTGTTCCTTGTTATTAGTGTATTTGTATTCTGTCTGCTTGTGTCTGGATTAGTTTGTTATGCTTATTATTCTGATTTGTTACTTCTTACCTTGATATGTTTAGTGTTCAGTACTTGTGTTCTGTCTGCTCACCTTCAGTAATCTGCCTGCCATCCTGTCTCTCTGCCTTGTTAACCCTGATCCCAGTCTCCTGTGTTGCTCCCGCCCTGCTCGTTAGTCCCGGTGTATAAATGTTTGGTGTTTCTGTTTAATCCCTGTCCGGTCATTGTCGTATGTCGCATTAAATACCCCTGAACTGTATCTCAGCGCTAAGTGTCTTGCATTTGGGTCTCACCTGCTCTGGGGACCCAGCGATCCTGACAATACGGAAGCATCCAACTGGACTATGTGAACAATGTCACGTACCAGAAACAAAGATGTTAACTGCAAGAAATATTTCTCACAAATAAACGACATGATGAGGGAATGAAAACATCAGGGATAACAGGAGCAGGTTTAAAGGGTGTACTGGAGTGTGGTGGAATTGGACAAGGCAGGAAGTGTTCAGTTGGTTTTCTGTTGAGGACTGGATTGATAAGGAAAGTTAAGTAACTCCAGAAGATGGCAGTAATGCAACACTAAGGATGCAAGCTGACGTTAAACCTCAAGAAGAAGAAGCACTCAGTTCAAAGAGCCAATTACGTCAAGCTGGTTCTACACATGGGTTTGAAACTGGTTTAAAGCTCAGTGGATGTTGTAAAAGTGCAGCTTATGCGATGACAACATGAAGAGAGAAAGAACGCACAGATTTTTTTAACGATGTCATGACGGAGCAACAACACAAGGATGACACGTTACTTGTGGAAAATATTCCATGAGCTCTGGGTTGTTTGCTCAGAATCTGATGAGGGAAAACACTGGTTTCAAGGTAAGACCGCTCACACTGTATTTATGACACGTGCAGCAGTTTTTATTAGCCAGCATGATCAATGCTTTGTTGAACGATAAGTGTGTGTTTTGAATCTGTTTTAGATATTGTCAGAACCAAATCACAGGGTCGGCATGTGGGTCGATTTTGAGTTGCTTTGACTTGACTTGAGTTTTTCAGTTTTATGCAACTTTATACTTCTACTCCAGTACCACATTTCAGGGGGAAACATTGTACTTTTTACTTAACTGCAACTACTATCTCACAGAGTAAGAGTTTACAAACAAAACATACAATAATTGTATAAAACATGAGACTGCAGTATCGATTAAACTATCCAAAATAATATAAAGTAGTTGATGTGCCCCACCAACACCAGCTGTAATATGATATTAATATTATATTGATAATATATAACTGAAAGATTAAGAGACTCTATTAAATTCAAATTGTTTGCTTATGTAGCATAAAGTGAACTGCAAACTGCATCTCATTTTACAACCCTGTTGTAACATGATGAACACATTTACATTGTATCTTCAAAGGGTAGGATATTAATTTAGTCATGGTCGAGTAAAA